CGAACTCGCTGCCTTCTTCCCACTGCTCTTTAATGCCTGTAGCATGACGGACTCCGTTGCTGAATTGTCGTCTGATGTGGGAACTTCATAGTCCTCATCCGTATCTTTGGAAGCAAGAGAATTACGTTCGTCACTTCCAGGGGAGCTTGCCTTCCCTGGGGAGACCGGAAAACGTATTAGCCGACCACCGTCTGTTGTCGCAGTGACAGGTGAATCTCCTCGAGGTGCGGAAGGCGAGGTAGCCCAGTAGGGTTTGCTTGGGTCAAAGTTTGGGGGGAGTGGCTGGGTCGAGTGCTGGTCATCTGCCTGGTCCTGTTGTGCAGCATTCGGGTTCGCCGTAGTGCTGGGCGAGATACTTCCAAGGAATACGCTGGAGACGCCAGTTCCGGGCGATGTTTCGGCAAGATATATGCTCGGTGACTCCGAAGAACGGCGAGGTGGCGCTAGAGTATTCTTTGAAGTTTCAACAGAGCCGCTCCCTGCGGGTTTCTTGCTGTTGGTCGACTGACCCGCCTTAGTATAGCGGTTTGCCCTCGGCTGCGTTCCATGTTAGCGGTCTGCGCTCTGAAGCACTCGCAACGGCCCAAGCTCCTCACACAGACCGTACGTGTTATGAAGGGGCACAGCGCTCACCATGATTAGAGTGAAGAGCCGAAGTCTTGGGTCATTGACTTAAGGTAGACAGGAGTAACCACTTCAGCACTTTCTCAGAAGCCTTGGAAAGAGGTTTACACCCAGTCATTTGACTCAGTCACTTGCTGACGGGCACAAAGTGAAGACGCATCTGCATGGAGAAGGGTGATTTGGTGGTACCTGTGCCTTCGTTGCGCCGTTTCAGGCGAATGGAAGAAACACGAGCTCGCCTTCCCTAAGTACGAAGAGCAGCCCGGGCGAGGAGATGGTAGAATTGGTAATGAGAGAAGGAGGTATCTCACACTCACAGTGTGTAGAGCATCGTTAGGTGAGAGGTACATACTTACTCTCATATAGAAGAGGAAGGAACACCCGGACAACCTCAGTCACGGCCCATTTAATTGAAGCTGGCAGTTACTTCCTTCCTCCTATGCTACGTTAACACCTACATGTATCTTACCTAGGCCTGATTTCGAAAATGGAAGGACCATCAGGCATGCATCGAGCAACCAGTCGTTGGGCACTGGCAGCAATGTTTCGATGTGTATCATGTAGGAGCAGAGGCCATGGTCTTATCCAGGTTAGCTGGGCAGTAAGAGCTGGAATACATGTATGGTTCAGTTCCATCCCTTCTTAGAAGATAGAATGTATTCCAAGTGTTCAAGAAGGGCAGTTGTCGCTAGGTTAAACTAAAATGTAGCCATCTCGAAACTCGCCGGCATTCTGTCGTGGCTGAAATTGTCTTCATCACCACATAGTTCCCCCGAGAATCTTTACTTGTAATCAACAGTAGATGGACCATGTGCACCCCATGCAGCAAGGGCATTAAGATTGCAAAACACTAGAAGCATGGGCAGAACAAGCTGACGGATCCGTGTTTCCTGAGTACATAACGTGAACCACCAAACCCCAACTTGCTGCTACGCTTTGTTTCGCGCTGGCCGGTGTTAGCCCTAGGACCAGACAGTTGAGACGACGGAGTAGGTTGTCTGAAAACTTGAATCATCAATTTGCATAGTTTCATTATCATCACAAAGACTTTGCTATCTTGGGTGATGAGAGGCATGGTCACCGTAGATTATTCGGAGAATAGGAAGCCGGCATGGTGCCGGTCGGTCTCTGAGGCCGCAGCTGACTTGGTGTCAAGTCAAGCTTGAGTAATCATGGTTACTCGCCAGAAGTCAGTAGATACATTTCCACGTATGCTTTTATTTGTCCCGAATCCGCCTGACCAATGCATTTCCCAAACGCCGAGCAATACAGTCTTTTCAGTCCCGCACTAACATTGTCTGGTTTATCGGACAATGCCGTCGAAGCGCTGCTTGAACCATTTGACGGTCTCGTCACGGTTGATGCGGTGGCTGGCACCGATTCTGCTCTTGCAGCGGCGGCGACGGCTGACACGCTCACCGGGGCGGGTCATGCAGCAGTAAAAGTCCATACCGTAGATACCGATCGAGGGGTCGTACTTGATACCGAGATCGATGTGCTCGTTGATACCGAAGCCAAAGTTGCCGGTCTCAGAGAAGTTGCGCTTGCGGAGCTCGTACTCCTTGACCTTAAGGCCACGCTCGAGAATCTCCTCGGCCTTGGGGCCACGGATGGTGACGTGGACAGCAATCTTCTCGTTACGTCGGATACCGAAGGTTCGGACGGTGTAGCGGGCCTTGCCTGTTCAGTGCGAAAAAATTGGTGAGTTAAGTCGTGCGGTGTGGACGCGATTTTATCTGGATAGCTTTGTAAACATACTGTAGACAGGTGTCTGACCGCTCAGCTGCTCGAGCACCTTAGCGGCACGGGTCAGTCTGTCACCAGATTCACCGACCGAAATGTTCAGGACGAGCTTCTGGATGCGGAGCTCCCGCATGGGGTTCTGGGCTTTCTCAGACTGCAGACAGGGCCATTAGCAACTTATTCGTATTTGAGATTGTGATATTAGTGCCTGCATACCATGATTGCTGGCGTTTTTGTTAGTATCACGGCCAAAGAGTTGTTGGTTGGGGGATGCTCTTCGGTGCCGGCGGCTTGGAAAGTTTCCGAACGTGAAGCAGGCGCTGAACAATTTTGGCTGTTTCCGAAGGGTTTCACTGCCCTAGCGTTGGTGGTTGTGGCTGGCGCCCCTGCATTTGTGGCTGGGGGACTGTAAACTTCGGTGGGGTCCGATGACCAGGGAACAGACGTGAGGCTGAGACAACTGTTAGGTATCCACCGAAACGAACCAAAGTGGAACTTTCAATAAGCTTTGGCCCTCAGCCGTGTAGTCAGGCTGCTCTGCCCTTAATTGGTACTTTGCCTTGGTACTGAATTTCGTCTCCTCCAATCATCCGTCCCAAATAGAGATCCCCAGCTCTTAAGTACGCGGCATCAAGATACTGCTGGCGTGACTGGTACATGACAACAGGGAATTCAGTTTTAGTGCATTGTGGAAGAGCTCCTTCGGAGCCAGGCCGCCAGGATGTCGAACAAGCAAGGTAAAATGGTAAGTCCTGCCTCCTGACCGCTTGTACATACCGATGTTGTTGACACGCAAGGCTAACCAGTTGGTTATCTCTAGGCCGGTTATGTACGTTTCCCCTCGAGTCGAATCGCTTTTATGCCTCGGTTAGGTTGAGAGACCTGTTGTTCACGTCGTGTAGCTACTGACGGGTTGCTAGATTAACTACCGGATGAGAGTCACGTAAGGATCTATCTCGGGGAAGAATGCGGCCTTTCAGTGCTGACAATGTGACCAGATTGATAGACGGTCGCCAGATGACGGGACAGATGCTCGCTTTCGACAAGGTCAGTGTTGCGCGCATAGAATGTTGGATCCTTCTAATGCTTCTGTATAGCACATGAACTTGGTTTTAGGCGACACCGATGAGTTCCGACGCGTAAAACGAAAGCAGACGAAAGCCGCCGCTCCTGGGGCATCCAGTTCAAGCACCCAGACACTTGAAACCGAGGAGAAGCGAACATTGGGATTGACCATCCTGCGGGGCGCCCAGATTGTTTCGTTATCAGTCGAATCTGCACCTCCAGCCGACCCAAGCACGCGATTAGGCAAGACCACTACCACCGGTCTTCCAACAAGTTTAGTGGCCGGCCCCGGTGTTTCCCGTCCCGCTGGCCGCGGTGCGGCACCGACATCACTTGCTGTACGTGGAGATTTAGTCATGAAGCTGACGTAGCTACTGCTAACTGCCTATATAGGGCCCAGCTGTCGGAGTCGGTGGCGCAGCTCCTCCTCCCTTCCCACAGTTCCCTGGTGCTCCCGGTTTCGGCCCCGGCCGTGGCGTCCGTAAGTTTTCATCTCTCTTGATGTCTTTTGTTTCCATACCAGTTTACTGATTCTCACTAGCCCCTGCTCCTGGCTTCCCTCCTGCAAACTTTCCTCCACCAGGATTCCCTCCAGGTGGACAGTTCCCGCCCCCTGGCTTCAATCCCGGTGGCGGCCCCCCTGGGTTTAATCCGCCACCCCGGAGATGACGAGGGGATACTACAGTATGTGATAAGAGGCCCGGTTTTTCAGTGCAGGGCCCAGGTACCATTCGGCGTTGGGGAATCCAGTTTTGAGCAACAAGTGCTTAACAACCAAAAAAGACACCGGGGTAGAACTCTGATAACATTGCATGTAGAGCCTACATGAAAGTGAACCAAAATAGTAGGCTAATAGTAATCCAGATGGCCTCTTCTTGCCATCATGTCCTGCTTCTCTCTCTCCCACCCACACACACCCTCTCTCTCTGTGTCTTTCCTGCTCCTCATAGCTTGAGCCAAGATATTGATTCCATTGCAGAGGTGAATTATTAAGTATTCTTCATCCGGACGATGGTGACTAGAGTCGTGTTTATATTCCTATGGTTAGAGCAGGGTGCACTATGTTTATCTCCTTAGTTATTGTTGCGAGCCAACTATTAACCGGATCGCAAACCGTGAAGCGACGAGATATATGGCTTTGCAAAGGGTGGATTCTCGGGGATTTTCCAGTGAACTCTCCGGACTGGCGTCAGTAAGTCCGGTGAGCTCGATATGACGGCAGTGCTCGAAGGTCAGAAAGAGCGGGAGACACATACAGACAGACAAATCTGTAGTCCTAAGGCATCAAACAGAACAGCTCCCCACCGAGCCAAAGATAGGAACAGCAAGGTAGGGCAGGATCCAAGATCCACCACATGCCTGACATGAGACAAACTTTTTTACTTGGAACAATCACTTGTCAAGAGAAATATAAAGGTTACCTTTTGCATACAGGGCCAAGCTTTACCAATACCCACCCATGGATGATAAGTACCATTTACAAAAGGCCAAGAAAATGAGACAGAAAACCATGCATGAATGATTGTGCAATAAGTGGCCGAAGGGAGAAAAAAATAAAAAAAGAATTTTGCGTCGGCCGGGATTTGCACCCAGGTCCTTTCCTTCCTCACTCGCCACAATTTTGTGTGCAGAGCAATCAATGGGAGGGAAATGAGTTAACTACTACTCTACCGACGCGGCCATTGAGCATCTTTTGTTTCCCACCTGTCTCGGGTTTGCTCGTTGTTGCTTATCGCGTTCACCTATTCTGCCTTAAGTAGGGTAGGCACACTACCTACCTACCTACTGGGTTTAGCAGTGAGTGGCACTGTGGAAAGGTAAAAAGTGCAGGCAGGCAGGTGCCCATTGAATGAAATGGTTCCCAGGCAAATCAAAGTGTTGGTTGGGTGTGGATGGATGGCCCCTTCCCATTTCATTGAGCAGGTTCAATCAAATATTGGTTGGTGTCTTGGTAAGGAGGACAGCAGTACTCTCCTACATTATACATACATACCCACCTACTGTGTGGTGTGCCCAGCTTCCCTGAACTGTCCAAATTCTCTTGAAGTGAGGCTCATCTATGCATGTGGTCATTCCAAATCCAACGGAACACACGTATGCAGCATGCTACTATTTCAAGTTGCTGTAGAAACTACCTACGTATCTGTCCGGACGCTTGGCACCAGCCGAGTCTTGGTTCTCCACCTCATCGCTGGCAAGAAGATACATACAGGCAGCCAAGCACAACTACTACGGCCCGAACAAGCCAACGTGGCAATGTCATGTCTCGTAAGGTTAAGGTTGGGTATCTGCGCAGCCTGAACTCGGGTTATACCTTTCCCGACCTTGTCAGCACGCCTCTTCTACAGTTGCCCTTATATATAGAGTGGACCGTTCATGTCTCAACATCAAAGGCGTAGACTATATAACAATAATATTGACTTAACCTACAGTCCTTGTCAATCTTGGCGTTTGCTTCTCCATATATCCGACTCCGTTGAGCATGTGGTGAATTAGGTAAACAAATTTGGGGGGGCGCGGGGGGGAAAGGGGTTGCAGAGAATTACTAATGCTACACATGAGGTAGACTCTTTCGAGCAGTTATATAAGTCTTATATATCTCAGATATGCTAAGAGAATAGTACCATTGTATATAACTGTTTTCTTAGTGTTCACTTCTTATATGGGCTAGAGCCTAGGGAGGTGTTCCCAGCACACCCGCCAACCCGTCAACGTCTCGAGACCTCATCTCCATGCAGCGTCATAAAACAAGACGCCTTTCATATGTATGCATAGAATGAAGCAGTTGGCCAAATTTGTCCAAACAAGTCCAGCCAACCATGGACAAGAGCGTCTGGTCTACAGCATCACCACAGAGGTAGCAGCGCCTGACCCTGAACCCATAGAACCAGAGTAATTCGGAAAGCAGAGGCGAAAGAACGGCGAAAGAAAAACATCCAAGGGGTATATAGGCAATTCCAACCCGAACAACACATTATGCACAACTCCGATCAACAAACTCTGCAGCAAAGCCTCCATCTCGCTTAGGATTTTGTAAGTTTCCGCCACCAACTGCTTCGAGGTGTCGTGTCGGTCAAGAACGACTCCCGCATCCCCTTTTCTCCGCTCCCGTCTGACTCGCCCATGCGGCGCTCCCGTCGCGCCCGTCTCCGTCTTTGGTCGTCTACGTAGTCCCCATGCGCTTCACCGTATCTTTCTTTTTCTCGCCGACGAGCCCGACGAGCCGCCCGCCGCGCCTCCTCATCATCTGTCGCTTGTGGGGCATCCGTTGTTGGTCCATCTTCGGGGGGCGGGCCTGCATCCGAATGTTCCTTGACCCACGAGCTAGTACCCGAGTGGGGCCAGGCTGGTGCTGCCGCTGTCTGTGTTCTCTTGCCACGTTCATCGACCGAATGCCGTGAAGATCTTTCTCGGTAGTAGGCATTATCGTCCACTGGTATGGACCGATGGCGGCTAGACTTCTCGCTCCGACGCGCCTCGCGCCTTCGTCGTCGATCCTCTTCCTCTTCCGTCAGGTCAGCATAGCGTGAGCGCCGCCGTTCAGCTCGCTCTGCCCGATAAGCCTCTGCCTCTGCCTCCGCAGCAGCGGCAGCGGCAGCGGCTTCTTTTTCTTGTCGTCGATGCCGGCGACGTTGCTCCTTGGCTTCTAACTCTTCTTGTGCAATGCGTTGTGCTTCGCGTTCTCGTTCCGCCCGCCGCTCCGCCCGCCGCTCGGCTCGTCGGGCCTCTCGTTCTTCTTGTCTGCGTAACTCTTCCTCCTCCTCAAGACGCCGCCGCCTTTCACGCTTGGCTTCATCCTTTGCACGACGGGCGTCTTCTGCCTTTTCCTGCTCTCGTCTCGCCCGACGAGCGGCGCGTCGGGCTTCACGCTCAGCGTCATAATCAGGCTCAACATGATTTGAATCACGTGCGCGTTTCGTCCCCTTATCCAGCCGTGCTTCATCGTCAGTTGTGTGGTAGGTAGTCCTACGTCGAAGCTCGGGGCGCGCCTCGGAACGCGGCACCGAGGCCGAGGACATGAAACCACCGAAAAGACCAGAGATGCCTTTCTTGGCACTCGAATTGGAACGCTTTAGGGGTGTAGACTCGGCCGGTCCACCCGCATCAACCATGACGATATCATCATCTGGTCGAGCCTGTTTGCAAATTAGCGAAGATGTCATTCAAGTATCGACGGGGCATCCTTACTTTCGACCGCTTCCGTGGTGGCTTCTCCGGACCCGGTTCCAGATCGCGTTCTCCTACCATGACGATGTCGTCTTCCTCCCCTGCAGGAGCTCGTGAACCCCTCCGGGTGCGGCCCTTATCAACACCAAGGACTCGCGCTGCTTTTGTAGACATCTCTGGTATATCTGGCGAAGGGGATGCGAGTCCGCCACTCATCTCCACGGAATGGCGCCTTGAGCCTGACTTGCTCGAGCGCTTATCGCGGGTGGACATGGAGCGCGACAGAGGCGGCGTACTTTGGAAGAGACTGTTGATTCGCGACTTGGGAGCCGGGGCAGACTTTTTATCCTCCCGCTCTGCCTTGTCCGAGTGTGAACCTTTTGAAGAAGTCTTCCCCTCTCTCTCCTTTCTCTGTTTTTTGGTCTCCGTCTTCGACTTCGAAGATTTCTTTTCCTCCTTCTGGGGCGAGGCTGACCACATGCCCCATGACGCGCTACCTTCACGGCTGATCTTGGCGCGTTCTTTCCTAGAGGACTTGACTTCAGGAGGGGGGGTGGGTGGTGCGTCTGGGACCGCTGGCGGCGGTGGCGGAACGGCTGGTGGTATGGGGGGTAGTGCTTCTTCCCTAGATTTACCCTTCTTGTTCTTTTTCGACTTCTTTTCCACAGGCGGAGAGAGGTCGACTATCTCTACTATCTCGTTTTCATCGTCCATGTTATCCTGATCTTCATCCCTCTGTTTGCTCTTTTTGCTCTTCTTTGACTTCTTTTTCGCGGTCAGCGGAGGGGCCAGATCAATAATTTGGACAATTTCGTCTTCTTCTTCAGCTGCTGGCTCGGATCCGGCTATCGCCCCGGCTTCGTCAAGGCCGCGACCGTGGATAGCTTCATCCTCCGAGTCTGGGGCTTCTTCCGGGGCTTCTTCCGGGGATTCTTCGGGGGCTTCTTCTGGGAATTCTTCGAGGGCTTCTTCTGGGAATTCTTCGGGGGCTTCTTCGGGGGCTTCTTCGGGGGCTTCTTCTGGTAGTTCTTCAGGGGCTTCTTCGGGGACTCCTCCTGACCCTTCATCTGGTGCTTGAGTTCCGTTCGGAATTTGGTCTTCCTCTTCGTTGGGAGGCGCGCCGGTACTCTCGCAATCATGAAACTCGACGTCTTGATCATCATCGTCCATGGGAAAACTTCCACGAGGTGAATTCGGGTCATTTGGGGATGGGTAAGAGTCGTCCGCTTCAGGTACTGCCGGGGGTGGTGTTGGGGCTTCTGGGAGCACATCGATCAAGTCACCTTTGAGGTCATTCTGGACTGCCGGCTCAAATTTCTTGAGCTTCTCGGCGAGTTTGCTTCCCTTGACCTTCTTCTTCGGCATCCAGTCGTCGTTGAAAGTCTTGGAGGGAGAATGCTCGGCCCAGTTAACGGCGACATCTTCGCGAACCTGGGAGCTTTTCGCGGCTGGCTTGGCACCCCAGAAAGCGAAAGGGTCGCCGATCTTGGCTTTAGGCTTAGTTGGTGGCGCGAAGCCCGCAAGGATCTCGTCCGCTTGCTCAGGAGTGAGGTCGACGTTGTCGAAATCCAAGTCCTCGTCCTTGCTTGTCTGTTTTGTTTTTTTCCCATCCGCCTTCACGCCTCTCTTGGGTTTCTTTATGGAAGACTTTACCGCTTCCGCCTCCGCCTCTTGCCGCTCGCCCTCAGTTTCTTCCTTGGCGTCAGGTGCCGCTGGGGTTGCCTCCTGAACAGCCTCCTGAACAGCCTCCTCGGCATCTTGTGCAGTCGTTGCTTCAGGCTTCTCACCGGCTTGCTCTAGTGCTTGTGCTACTTCGTCCGTTTTGTCCGTCTCCGTCACATCGGCCACTCCGGTGCGGGCATTGATAATAGCGGAGAGTTCATCCAATCGCCTCTGCTCCTTTTTCAGTAGTTTCCCTTTTGTTGACTTCTTAGCGGTGAGGGCAGCCAACTCGGCATCTTCATCAGCTTCACGAGCGCGTTTCGCTTCATCCTCACGGGCGACCTGCTGGTCTTCACTAGCTAATTCTTCGGCCTCGCGACCGCCTTGCTCATCCACATCAAGTGCGACTGATTGACATCCATCATCCGTGACTTCAGTCGGTGCACGAGCATCGACGATTGCAGTGAGTACGTCGAGTCGCTTTCGATCCTTCTTGTTAAGTTTTCCGAGTCGAGACTTCGAAGTAAGAATGGCTAGCTCCGCGTCCTCCGTTTGACGGCGGACTTTCGCTTCAGCATCGCGGGCAGCTTGCTCATTCGCTTCACGAGCGGCAGCTTCTTGCGCTTCCCGAGCAGCAGCCTCTTCCGCTTCACGAGCAGCAGCTTCTTCCGCTTCCCGAGCGGCCTGCTCTTCCGCTTCCCGAGCGGCCTGCTCTTCCGCTTCCCGAGCGGCTTGCTCTTCCGCTTCCCGAGCGGCTTGCTCTTCCGCTTCCCGAGCGGCTTGCTCTTCCGCTTCCCGAGCGGCTTGCTCTTCTGCTTTGCGAGTGGCCTCTTCGTCTTCGGCATTTG